TCAATATAAAATATTCGCATGTTCAAAATTAGCAAAATTGAAGTTTCTGCTGTGTGATTGGCTACAATTACTTTCGAATTTCGAAGTTCGTAAGCCAATCATATTCCGATTTCTTGCCAAACTCGAAGTACCAAGTGTCCCTTAAAATCCCTCGTCGTCTGTACTCATATCTTACTACTGTACCTCCATGTTTGACTGTACTACAGTAGTACTCCAAAGGAGTATATTGTAGACAGTTCACACAACAGTTGACCTGATACATACCGTATTTCGCGACAAACGGGCAAGCCTTGTTGTACACCAGCTCGAGAGTACTAGTATTAATAGAATATTTGGAGGTTAAAATGTCGCTCCGTTGGATTTGTCAATCTGTTGGGACGTAGCGATAAACTAGCCCGAACGTATGTTGCGAAGCTCAAGTAGCCCCCGAATCCCAAGAGACCAGGACGACGCACAAAACTGACGCGACGAATTTTTCGACTCGCCACACGCAAGGGAATGTCGTCTAGACAGATCCCAGCAGCAATAAGCGGCAAAGTAACTAAAAGTGCGTCTATAGTCAAAAAATTGAAAATTGGATTTTTCTCGTGATCCACACACAAATGAAAGAAATTCTTTTATGGAGATCCTACCGGTATAATTACATTTTCAAGGATGTTGACATTAATCGTTTCGGATAAAAGGACATTTTTGGTTGAGGTACTCCAAAATTTTGGGGTGCGTCTCTAGTTCAACCGCCTCGTCTAATCGGATTATCGGAAAAAATACTGACCAATTGGAGTTAACAGTAAATATATACTTCGAAGTATGTTTTACACAACACACGTACCACCAGCTTCCCACAACATAATCATTATAATAGGCTGCCTGCGCCACGTCCCGCGACATGGGCGATTCCACGAAATCTTCTTTGGGGCTTACTTAACGATGATGCTGTCTCATTTCTCGTATAGTATGGCTATAAATTACCTAATCATAGATTGCATTGGGTTTGCGGGGACTACTGAAGCCTGAATGCACAGAAAGCTCTCCTATGGTCAAGTGCAGTGCTCCACTGGAAGACTTCCACGGTCCTTGGCTGCAAATTACATACAGTAGTGATATCATATTAACGTGTGATTGTCCTTACATAAATAAATAAAGATAATCTATCAAATCAAACTCCGTTATGATTGGAAATCCAAGGATGCCGGCACGGGAGTGGCGCCTTCTCGCACAAGACAAGACGCACGGATGACACCGACTACAGTAAAGTAGCCTATAGTGTACACTTTAAAACTTGCGCTGAGCTCTGGCGTACCTGAGAGTGTCGCCCATCGTATTCCCGTCTTGGCCAAACGCTTCTATTGGAAAGAAATGATAGCGAAGTTAACAAGTGTAGACTACCTGTAGACGAGATGACATACAACCATGTATGTTCTCATCAAGAAGTATAACCTTTGATTTACATGCGTATCATTCATCGTTCTTGTGTGCGCGGATCCAGCAGAGTCAAAGTGTGTGGCAAATACAAATACCTTTATCGCTGCATGTGAAAGATAAGATTATAAGGGTTTCGTAGAGATTTCGTAAACCCCTCATTAATCTCTAAATGTAAATACAGCTGTAGAGAGGTTTCGCAACTCATCTTTATCACTGTGTCTGCCAAAACCGGAAGTGTACCTGTAAAACCTAATTAAAGTTACTGCCAAACTTGATTATCATTCATTGGAATTGTGATGATTACTGTATGTCAATTTCGCCGCATGTTATTGTGGATTTCACAATTTTAAAGTAGTACTACTAGTATTAATGTTGCTTGTCACAAAGTAAAAAGATTATTCGCCGAAAGAGCTGTTACTTCTCCCTGGGACTTGGGTGGTGAGTGCTTCAACTGTTGGACAATGTGAGATTTCATCCACCGGTATTATGGTTTCCCGAAGGTACCCATGCCAGAATGCAAAGTACTGTAACGTTGCACAACATAATATTTACATCATGGTCGCTTTCGCAGTTCTAGCGGTGCTCATTCTATTACCGCACAGGGTATTGGGGAAATAATGATTACTCCCCAAACTAATACCCTGTGCGGGATTTGAACCCGCAACCTTTGGGTTGTAACCCCAATGCTCTATCCGTGTGAGCTATACTCTTACTTGATAAACATGAAGAATTTTTTTGAATGGCAGGCGATTAATGGCTGTCAAAACTCGTTTTAGCGCCAACATGTGCATTAAGTTTTGGTGGTTTGGTGTCTATCTTTGTCGTGAGTATAGTTGTTATTTCATTTTTAGAGGGGTATTTACAGTTAATCTCATGATTCTGGACGACGATCACACGCTACAATCCAGTTATTCCATGTGACATGGGAATGACTTTAAGTGATTTCGTATGTCAGAGTGATTTCCAAAGTCACTCACTTATTTCCAAATGACTCAGTGTACACTCGATCACATAGTCTTGAATTCATTGGTGAGTTATTTACTAGAACATCTGTCAATTCTAAATGGCACTGTTGTTGACTTGCGACAAAGTAATTTACAAAATATATTCATGATATTGGAAAGTGAAGCATTTTTGGTTGAAAACGGAGTTGCTGGGTTAGAGGCCGCTTTTGGTTCAGCCGCGCCACCTTCGTGAGGGGATGGTTGTGCTGGCCAACATATTCATTGCCGCGAACGCCACTCCTTGTGGTCAGTGATATCCAAGCCCCTCAAGGTCGTCAAGACCCGCATGCAGTTGCAGGACGAGGTCTTCAACTGACATGGGCACACGTCGTCGTCGGGCCAAGTCAAGCACCTGTCGGCAGTTGGTAGCTAGACCTGACGAATAACTTGCCGGTCATCCAATCTCGGGGTTGAATTTGGTCTGAACGTTATTTGTACTGTACGTCGTCCAACCAATCAATACAACCGTCTCGTCGTCACCGGTAACAGGGTAACTACTCTGTACGGAGCTTTCGTCCTACGTACTGTACGTGTACGTCGTACACCCAATCTATACAGCCGTCTCGTCGTTCACAGTGAATAGTGAACTCTGCCCATGCCGTGCAGTAATTCCAAAATTGCGACATAACTTACTGTTAATTGATGTTTGGCTGCATATTGTAGACAGTACACACAACAGTTGACCTGAAACTTTTATCGCGACGGGCATGTGGTGCACCCAGCTCTAGAACGCTCGAGAGTTATTGGCCTCATTTTGCAATTTCCATTGACCCATCAACATCATGATGGTTCAGTACCGTTTTGTGGCCCTCGCCACCGCCGCCGTCACGGCCAAGATCTCGGTCCAAGTGCATCGCAACTTGGAAGTCGCCAAGCTATCGAACGTCGTGGTCAAATTTGACTGTGACGAGGCTCACGTCAACCATCGCCGCCGACTCAAGGACGGCGCGTCTCGCTCCGAAACCATCGAGTCGGTGGTTGATTCGTTGAAGGAGCACACCACCACGTCTCAGGCGTCGGTCAAGTCGCTCCTGGCCAACCAAGTTGGATCGATGGCTGTCGATGTAGCCACGACATGGATCGACTGCTCTATGTACATCGACAACGCCTCCAACGACCTTGTCGATAAGATCGCGGCGTTGCCGCAAGTCGAATCCATTTACGAGCCAGTTGCGAGAGCACTCGATGAATCCATAAGCGACGACCAACCAGCCAGTGCTGTCGACGCTGTCAACCAATGGGGGATCGATAAGATCCAAGCGCCGGAGCTGTGGGCCAAAGGCATCAAGGGCGATGGCATTGTCGTGGGCATCATCGACTCCGGTGTTCGCTATACCCATAAGTGGTTGAAGTCGAACTGGCGACAGGAATACGGTTGGTTCGACCCGTACAAGAAGACAGAGCTGCCCAACGACCAGACGGGCCACGGCACTCGTGCCGTGGGCACGATAGCGGGAACGCAAGGTATTGGAGTCGCCCCCAATGCCCAGTGGATTGCGTGCAAGGGATGGAACGCAACGTACCTGGAGCAACATATGCTTGTGCAATGCGCTCAATTCATGCTTTGCCCTCACGACAAAGACGGCAACAACCGCAACTGCAGCAAGGCGCCCCATGTGATCAACAACAGCTGGGGAAAGTACACCAAGAATTTTTGGATGGAAGATACAATTGCAGCGTGGAGAGAAGCGGGAATCATTCCCGTGTTTTCGAATGGCAACACCGGCCTTAAAGGTTGTGCGTATTCGAGTTATCCTGCCGCATCCCCTCATGTGATTGCTGTCGGCTTCACCGACTCCTCGGATTTTTTATCGCCACATTCCAGTTTGGGACCTTCCGTGGAGAACCGCTACAAACCCGACATTTCGGCTCCTGGTGTAGGAATCCGATCCGCATCAAGCGTCAATGACGTAGATGATTTGTGGGGTTCTGGCTCGAGCACGGCTTCGCCTCATGTTTCTGGAGCCATCGCCTTGTACTTGTCCGCCAACGAAGGCGCCTCGTACGACCAAGTGTACACGGCTCTGACCAACAACGTGGACACGGACACGTTATCTCCACCTAACAAGTCGTGCGGTGATATTCCCAACACGCAATATCCCAACAACCTCTTTGGCTACGGCCGCTTGAACATCTTCAATGCTGTGTCTGCTCTACCCAGCGTCCCCGCTCGACTCCACCCCATCCGCCCCGCAAGTGTACCGTTTGGAACGACGCCTATGAAATTAGCGGGAGCGACGTCAAGGCAGTATCCCAACGCACCGCCGACGACTGCTGCGACGAATGCCGCAACACTCCAAACTGCAATGCGTTTACGTTTACGCAGGACAACGGAGGCACGTGCTGGCTCAAAGATGAAGACAAACCGGTCAATTGGGTGATCAAGGAAGGCTCCAAGTCCGCCCGAGTACTCAACCCGACCAATTACCTAACCACGTGTGGCTCCTTGGAAGACGACACGCACTATGCTGGTGGCGACTTTGCTTCGACCAATCAGGCGACTGCTGAATCCTGCTGTGGGGACTGTGAAAATACACCGGGATGTACGCTGTTCGGGTGGTCCAACCATAGTGGTGGCACGTGCTGGCTCAAGGATACCAAGGGGCTCAGGGTGACTTTGGTCGGAGCCAAGGCTGGCTTTCTCCTGGCAGGACCGTCGTCATGCGGCGCCGTCGAGTCAAACGTGGACTTTGTGGGCGAAAATGTCGCGCAGGTGTCGGCGGACCAAGCGGCCGACTGCTGCGCAGCGTGCCACAGCCACCAAGCGTGCAATGCGTACAGTTGGTTAGGTGGTGTGTGCTACTTGAAGGGTCGTCGGGCGGAGACGAAGGTGCTGGATGGGGTGGTGTCGGCCCGCGTGGACAAGTGCAGTGCTTTGGAGACGGATGTGTACTACGCAGGCAAAGACCTGTCGGAAGTGAAGGCTGACGTGGCGGACTGCTGTGCGATCTGCCGTGAAACGAGCGACTGTGGCGCGTTTAGCTGGACCAATGGCGTGTGCTACCTGAAGTTCTACAAGGCAGCTTCTCAAGCCAACGCTACTTTCATTTCTGCTGTGGTGATTTAAGTTTGGCCTGATTCATATCTGCATAATGGGATTTTAATAATTGACAGTGAGTAATCTATGGATCAGTACATCGAGTGCCTTGTTGCGGCCAAACATGAAGTCCAAAGTTGTCAACGTGAAACAATATAGACATGATAATGGGGTTGACATTTGAAAGTGCATCAAGACATCGGTCGAGCTCGATGAAGATGATTTAACATTGAAGAAGCATACTCGAATAGGAGATAAATTAGCCTGGCACTAACGATAGTGGACATGTGCATATATTTATAACGTCACGTCGTCGTCCTTGACGTCATTGCCAAACTTGCTTAGCACGTTTGATCAACGCATCGCGTCCTTTGAGTCCCAGCGTGGCATCGTCCATTGAAGCACTGCGGAAGGAAGCGTATGTAGTTTGAGGGCAAAATGCACAATGAATTAACTGAAGATTTACTAAGATCCCTTAGTCCTCATCCCTATGAATCTTCTTAGTCTACTTCACACTTCTACATAAATCTGCGCTGTTGTATACAGCGGGCATGGTGGTGGCAAGGCGTTACCCCCACCTGTTGCATCGCTACATTCTCCCCCTGACGTCTTACTACACCTTGAAACGTCTTGACTCCAAGTCTTGAACGAGTTGCTTCAAGTGCACAACATGTTGGATGTCCTTCATTAATTCCCACGTGGCTTCGCTTTCGGGCTGTCCATATCACTTGACCAAGTACTTCAACTTGCGATTGAACTGTCGCTTCTTGAGCGGTTGCTTTAGAGGCAGGTTGAGAGTCGCTAGCACTACTTTATCGCCTACCTTGAAAGTAACGTTCGAACGGCGCTTGTCAAAATACTCCATATGACGTTGATGGGCCTTCGTCAAATTATTGTGAGCCATTCAAATGCATTCTTTTCGATGTTCCGCAAAATTCTTAGCAAAGTCTTTCTTGGACAAGTATTTTGCAGAACACTACAAACGCTTTCTCCCGCAGTGCTACAATTAGTAGCATTTCTTGGTTCCCTCGCCACAAGCTCCGTCAACCCGCTGTACGTAGCCAGTCTTCTTAGACGGTTGCAGAGACTACACATCGCCAAAGGTTTTAAAAACGTGGTCTTTGCCACCCGTTACCTGGTGATAGTCTCAGCAACAAAATCCATACACGTTCTGAGTGAACTGCTAGTGTATACCCCGTAGCAAGACCCTCAAGTCCCAACTCGCGGCCACGAAAAACATCGGCCAATTATTCGACTGTCCGGATCTGCCGGTTAAGCTACGCCAAGACCTTCGCGTGTTGACCCGTCACCA